GCCCGGTGCTTCCCAAGTGTTGAAAATGAGGAGTCTCTGACTCTCACTGTCAGAGATAAAATAAGCATTTACTGTGAGATAAAACCCTAGAGATGCAAAGTTCTTTGGGCAAGCTGGAAACAGAGGAAGACTCGGCAGAGGCAGCTATCCCAAAGCATCTTTTCTTTACCATTTTTCTTTTCTTCTCTCTTTTTTTTTTTTTAAGACTAATAATCAAAGAGCTTTTTGAAAAGACTAATAATCAAAGAGCTCAGGGAACAAATATTCCCCAAAGAGCTCTGCCAAAAGACCCTTCCTCAGTGTTGTTTCTTTGTGACTGAGGGGAGGGTCCCACTGGACATGGGGCTGCAGAGGGCCCCAAAACCCCTCTGCAAACAGAAGCCTGTTGGTCCTCTTAGCTCATCACCCCACAGCATGGCCCCATCCCAAACCAGCCATCATGTGCCCAGGTTCAGGTCCTCCCCAGACACTGCACTCATGAATTTTTGTTTAACAACATTTTTTTGAACCTTTAGGGAAATTTGAGTGGGAAAAACACAATGTCAACCAATCATTCACATTTCGAGGCTCTAGAGTTCAAAGCTCAATTTTGGAGCTGGGATAGTTTCGGAGGAACTTTTTTCCTGAATTCTGATTTCTCTGAAATGTACAACATTCTCTGCAAAACGCAGATGAAATTCCTTGTCATAGAAAGTTTCCAGCAGGAGAAGACAAATGTGTTTCCCAGCCAGGCTGTGGATGCCTGACAGACTCCCAAGGCTCTCCCTGCGCGGTGAGAAGCACTAATGAAGAATTCAATCTCTGAACTTGATTAATTATGGCTGCACTGTTGGGTATTCCCAGGGCATCCTCAGAACTCCTCCATCCTGCCCCGTGTGTGGGAGGCACATTGTAATCTCTGGGCTGGACTCTGCCCAGCGCTGTTCCCTGTTGTTTTCCCCATCATCCTCACCTCAAGGACAGGCTGGAGAGTGGCCAAGTGGGTTCAGAGGTGCCACATGTCCCCAGGATCTTGTGAGATCTGGCCATCTAAGACCAGGTGTCTCACAAGAAACAGCAGTGAGGGGATGAGTTGAGTGGGGTGCAGCTCATCCAGGGGATGGTGGGGAGCATAGGGAATGTAAAAAACTTATTGAAATGTGGCTGCTGGGGGTCTTGCCCTGGTAGTGGTGTCTGACTCTCTGCAGCATCACAGTAAGCAGCACATGCTGGCACAGAGCAGCCTAAAAAGGCCAATAAAACAAACCAGGCAGGACTTGGTTTCTCAGGAGCAGCTGAGACTTGGAGGGGAAAAAAAAAAAGACATGTAAAAGTTCCTGCAGCAAAACCGTGGGGGAAAACACCAAACACAGCCTCAACCTTAAAGGGATCAGAGTGGGCAGGGTGTATTCAACAGCAGCCACATCAGCTGACAGGAGGGCAGCATGCCACACTAACTGGCCTGTGCTAATGAGGGGCTAAAGCCCACTCCATCCCCCTACTCAATTCACGCCTGACAGGCCCTGAATGCTGTGGAGCAGGTCAGTGGTGGAGGAGGCTCACTGCCTTTGGAAAAGCCTGTGGAAAACACGTGTCCCGGCTTGGGGCTGCCTGCCCATCTGTGTGCTTTACTCTGGTGGGTCCACTGCCACCTGCCACCGTGGGCTACACAAAAGGTCACCTCAGGATGGGCTGGGAGCTGCCAGGGAGCTGGAGCCCCAGCGGAGATGCCAGCAGGAGGTTGGGGGACAATGGGAAGTGCAGGCAGAGGCAGGACTGTGGGTATGGCCAGCATGGCCGAGTGTGCAGCACCAACACCCTCTGGCTTCCTCCCTCCCTCCCTCCCTCCCTCCTTCTCGCACACCATAACTGAGCCTTGGCTGACACCCAGGCTTTCCCCCAACACCGACCTCCCCGGGAGGACAGTGGCAGCTCTGCAAGATGAGGCGTCACGATTTCAAATGTAAAAACACCCATTCATATGGCCCCTGCCGACCAATTCCCGCTCCAACAGCTATTACTGAGGACTCCAAAGACTAGGTAAACAGGAAACGTTTTCCACACATCCCGTTTCACTCCTGCGGCTCCGCTGCTGAGGCCAGAGCAGTTCCGCTCCGTGCCTGGCTCTGCGTGCACATGGAGGTGTGGGTGGATGATGTCCCTGTCATGCCCTGCGACCTGCACTCATCCCGGGGCAGAGGACAGGGGAGAGATGGCACAGGACCAAGCAGTGGTTGTTTCAGATGATAAAATTTGAGTGTAGTGTTTTGGGGAGGATTCCAGGAGCTGTTGAGAAGGCTCTGCACATTATAGGGATGAGCCTGTGTGTCTGCTGATGGTGGAGAAAGCTCTCAGCTCTGGACCTGAGCTCCCAGTGCTCAGCATTTCTGATCTGAACAGAGCATCCAGCGCTGCCTCATCCCACAGGTGACATGTGTCATCCATGTGAACCCTGTACCTTTCCACAGGGAGATGATGCTTAAAACTCATCACCAACTAGAAAACCACAGGGAAATAGACCCTCCCTATAGGTTAATGTGTGCACAACAGCATTTCATGCACAATCGAGCGCACACACACACACACACACACAAACACACTCTTTTGCCTCGAGGAGACTCTCCTGGACAGGTGTGCTCCCACAGAATCCACCAGCTGGGAATGCTTGCTGCCAGCAGCACACGATGTATACAATCACCTATTGCTGGAGAGGATGATGGGCAGCAGAAAGCAGCCTTTAAAACCCTGTCTGCCAAGGAAAACAAGAGGGGGCTTTCTTTAGCCATGCATTTATGTAAATAAACACAGGAATATTTTGCAACTCCCAGGGGACTTGCCCAGAGTACTGTTTTGCTGAATCAGGGTGGGAGTAATCCTGTGCTCATCGTGAGCCTGTGCACAATTGGGAGGGCCCCGGCACGTGCGGCACGAGCCAGGGACACAGCCCTGCTCCAGGGAAGCCCCACATGGCACGTGTCCCTAAATCCACACCATGTGCTCTGCCAGGATAGGGGCAGAACCCACGGGCTGCCATGGGGGTCTTGAGGGTTGACATATAATTGCCACCGCCACAGCCTTCATGCTTCTAAAATGTCTCCTTTCTTAGCATGGTCCGGATCAGAGGTTCAAAATCCAATTAAAAACTGTGTTGTTCCTCCTTTCGTCGCCCAGAACCAAGGTCACACATACACGTGTATTAAATTTGGAATTATAATCAGTTTTGCCCCAGAATGGGC